ATATAAGTTTTGATAGCCTTTGCAAAAAGGGATATGTAATAGAGGTGCATCAAACTTACCATAAAAAGGTCAACAAAATGGCAGCGAACATATTTATAGCAGATTAGAATTAAGAAGAATAGAGAAAAAAGTATATGGGGATAAAATTCATGACACAGATCAAGAAAAAAGGAATAAGGGAGGTGACCTGATCTACTAAAGGCTCGTTTTCTAATATAGCGTGCACATTTGCAGCTTCTAAAGCTTGAAGCTCTCTCTTTAACCTCTCAGAAAATGCCTCAGCTTCACCAATACCCATGACATAACTGTAAATCATGCCACTCTAAACATGATCAGATACACATTCAGCTGAAGAGAGAATATGTGGAAAGATCCAATATGGTATGCAAGTATGGGATTCAATCCAACTTCTTAATACTAACTACGCAAAAATATACGAATTGAAGAAACAAGATCTAGAGTTGCCAGAGTATCCCAAATATATATACACATGGGTCTGTCTTGATTACTTTTGTTTGTTTCCATCCTAATAGAATGAAGAATATTACGTAATACTTTCAGCTTAAAGATGGATGCTTACTGCTTAATTCCTGGCTTGATTTGTACAAACACATCTTTAGAGGAAAAGAGTGTGTGTTGCTTTCCAGTTCAGTTTCTAAAGTTTATTCATGCATTGCAAATTATTCATTTGCATCACTACAAAAGAAGATGTACTGTAAAAACAGACAAGAACATCTCTTAGATTTCAACATGGCATTGGGCTTCCCAAATCATTCAATCACAAAAAAACATGAAAGGAAGTACCAAATTATGAGTAAAACAGCTTTACTAATTTGTCTTTCATCCCTGATATGGCAGTACTAACTATGAATTGAAAAAAAGAAGCCTACCGTTTACTATTCCATAGAAGACTAGGTGCCGTTTGGATTTCTGTTACTCTGTATGCACAGGTGTCAATTTCAGGATAAGAAATGGAAGGAAGTTACTTACGTGCCTAAAAGGGCCTCCATATCCTCCTCCTCTACTTGCGACACGAGCTCCTTTTCAACAGTCACTTTTGTATCTGCTTCTTCTTCCACAACGACCACTGGCTGCCCATCTTGAGGAATGGCACTTTGTTTCTTGTTAACCGCAGGTGTGTTTTCCTGCATTAGCTCTAAATATATTTAGACTATGAACGGAAAATATCATACAAATGGATCCACTCATTGCAGGCTTCAGTTATAAAAAAGATAATCATTCATCTGACTTATCAATGTTGTTGAATGCGTATTACATTGAATGTTTAAAAATATTTCCAGTTTACCTTTGCCCAAAGTGCCATCTCCACCACATCTATTCCAATAACCTTAGGAAGATGACCACCCAATACATCCTTGCAAATGTTTAAGATGCAAAGCAAAAGTCGATTCCTAAAATATAAGGAGTACTATGTTTGAGAAAGAAAAAGAGTAACTGAATATAATAATCAAGAAAATTTGGAGGTTTGATCCACCTGTCATCAACATTGCGCATTGTCCACTGAGGGGGAGCTACAGTAGCATTCCTAAGATTATCAAATCCCTATAGCAGAATAGGTTGCGCATGCAGTTAATTCATTTATTTCCAGCCAAAATTCTTCTCAGAAGTATATAAATGAAAAGTGAGAACTACCAGTGTAAACGTACAGCCACTTGGATCATTGGTTACAAGCTCCACCTTTGAAAGATGCTTTAGCTTATAGATATTTGCAGCCTGAAAATGAAAAGCGATGGTTCTACTCAACCGTAGCTTATCATTAGTTCACTTAGATACATGTAGTTTTTTAAAATGAACTTAAATACTTACTTCAAGTACTCCTCCACTAGAATATTTTAAGACGCGGAGAAAAGCTTTAGTCCGCTGAGTTTTTTGCTTCGCTGCATCACTCACAAAGTATAGAAGCAAACATGAGGATTTACTCATTGAATTCCATTAAATAAGACAATAACGATAGGGTGAGAACTGAGAAGTTTCATCTCGATTATTTTTAAATGGCTGGGTAAAATGCTACATATCAAATTCAATTAAACCTCGCATTGAAGCGAGAACCATATAAGATAGAATTAGCGTACTGGAAATGGCTAGAACCCTGGGTTTGGCCATCTGACCGCGGCCCAATTTCCCCGGCTTTCCCCAGACGCCGTGGCTCTTGGCAACTCGAATGGACATGACGATCTTCTGTTTCGTGCCTTCGATCGCAGCCTGGCAGGCTCGCCGGAGCTCGTCATCATCGGCGCTAGACTTCGCCATCAGAGAATTTCAGAGCAGGGAGGAGAATGGAGGATGAATAGGGTAGTGTTTGTGTATTCTTCAACATGTCGTAGTGTTGCTAATATGAAAAGCTTAGCATGCGAGACCGTTAGTCCGTTAGAGGTAAATCAGCTTTGTATGTCTGACCATATCAAACGAGCTTCGCCATAATAAAGAGGTTTCTCCCTTTTATATTCCTGTGAGATATTACCCAAAATGAGACTAAAAAAGTTTGAAAATTCCAAAATAGAACTTTCATGTTTTTATTCCCAAAATAGGACTAATTACTGCCATGTTTTGGCAGTACTAGACTTCAAACATGACAGTATTTTCCAAATTTGACAGTAATTGGTCCTATTTTGGGAATAAAAACATGACAGTTCTATTTTGGAATTTTCGAACTTTTTTAGTCCCATTTCGGGAACTTTCCCTATTATATTACTACTAGTACAAATTGTGCTGTGATTTGCGTAAATGAGAGAAATAAGCATAACTACAAATTTATTGTTTTAGAACAAAAAGGTAAATTGCCCTAAATAAGAGTAAATAGGTTTGAAATTCCAAAATAGAATTACTATGTTTTTCTTCTCAAAATAGGAATTGTTACTGTCATGTATGAAAAATACTACCATTAATTATAATAAATACTGTCATGTTAAACGCACTATACTGCAACTATTTGGCAGTCACTCTTACAAGATGACAGTAAATACTATCATGTTAGTCATATTTCGGGAATAAGAACATAGTAGTCCTATTTTGGAATTTCAAACTTCATTTACTCCTATTTTGGGAAATCTCAGAAGAAAATGATAAATTCTCAGGACAAACATAGTCAAGTGAGGCAGAAGGATTAGAGTAGTATCTTCTCATTCTTTTTACAAAAAGGAAAGTGGGTAAATTCATTGTTTAAAAAGTAAAGGTTTTAGTTAGAGAAATTGTCCCATATAGGATTAAAAACGTTTTAAAAATCCAAAATATGGTTGTCATGTTTTAATCCCAAAATAAAAGTAATTATTGTCATATTTTGACAGTACTCGACTTTAAGCATGACATTATTTCTCAAACTTCCCAATAATTACTCTTATTTTGGGAATAAAAACATGACGGTTCTGTTTTGGATTCCAAAACGATTTTACTTATATTTCAGAAATTTTCCCACTCATTTTTTGGAGTTTTTTCTAGAATACTACTGAAATAAAATGTATGAATGAAATGTTATGTTATTAAAATTACTATAGGTACATCTTCGTGGTCATTACAATGTAAAATTGAATATAATCATAATTATTAAAAGATACATGTGATCACTTTGTATAAGATATCACAATTTTATCAATCACTTTCATTTTAATCATACATATATACGGAGTATTATATTACTCCCTTCATATTTTAAATATGAAAAATTTCGCTAATATTACTCACAGAAAAGTGATGGATAAAAATGTGACTTGACAATTTTTAGTGATTATAATTATATTCAAAATGACTATGATGTAGTGATTATGATGTAAACTTTGAACACGATTATAGTCACTAAAAATTATGAAGTTACATTTGTGCCCGTGACTTTTTTTAGTAATATTTTAGGGGAAAAAACTCTTTAAAGATTGCTATAATAGACTTTGGCACATTATTATTTTTTTGACAGAACTTTGGCACATTATTTAAGAGGAGAAGTAGTAGGCTAGGTTTTTTTAGTTTCGTTTGTCGTATTTTGTCCTATTTTGATTTCGTCTCTGGGCGTTTTTGTCATGCTTTGTTTCCGGCTCAATTTGGTCGAAATTGTTGTTGTGCTTCCTATTTTAAGGAACGGTTTGGAGCTATTTCTTTCCTGCGGATTGCAGTGAGTTAGTTTGAGCTCTGTTTCGTTTTGCCAAACAATGGCTATGGTTTGGCGACCAGTTAAGGGGGTCTCTATCGATGAAATTGAGGATTCAAAATTCGTACTACAGTTCTATCATGAAGGAGACCTGAACAGAGTTGTTGATGAAGAGTCTTGGTCCTTCGACCAGACTCTTGTGGTTATCAAACGGTTGGGGCGTACTGATAAACCTCTGGAGGTTGCACTGGATCATGCGGATTTTTGGGTTCAGGTGCATGACCTACCGCTAAGTTACATGACGGCAAGGGCAGCTCGGGGAATAGCCAACATTATTGGATCACTTGTGCAAGTGGATGAGGGCTCTCTTGGTGGAAAGCAAAAGTTGGTCATGCGCATTAGAGTCACTCTTAACATTACTATGGCTTTAACTAGATGCTTACAGGTCAGACAGGAGGGATATAACTGGATCTGGGCAAACTTTCGGTATGAGAGACTCCCGAACTTCTGCTTTCTGTGCGGGGTCCTTGGTCATGCTGGCCGTTTTTTGACCTCTAATCCACTTAGTCGTATAGGGATCGGGGAGAAACCTTATGGGCCATGGCTAAGCGCTTATATGAGGCAGGGAGATTCGCACCCGGGGAATAGATGGCTTATTCCTAACAATAACAAACCAAGTGATAGACAGGATGAAAAAGAAGAGTCTGCTAAAGGGACAAAGGAACAGGAAAGTTACTGTAGAGGGTCATTTTAGTTATTTTCATATAATTTTTTCTTAGTTATAAATTAAAAACATTTTAAATATAATTGTTCATAAATTAGCAGAATTAGCCAATCCATCCATTTCAGTCAAAACTTCATAAATTTCAGCAAAATCAGCTGATTCAACTAATTTTAGTGTTGCCTAATTTTAGTGTTGCCAAATGTACTCTAAATCATCAAGATTTGTAAATTAGAATGCTGATTGCCGGCTCATAATATTTCTCTGGGAAATGACCTTCATACAGAAAGCAATGTTTAATTTTTTTTATACAGATAAAAAAAGCAGAAAAGTGTATAAACAAAATGAAAAAAAGTTACACATGGGGGAGGGAGGACACCGTCCGGGGCACACTCATAAACCTCAACGCTTGGAAAATTGAGGAGCTTTACGGGCCTTCTTGAGGCCGACTTTTTTCCTTTCCACCACCCTGGAGTCCCTAGTCAGGAGCCCTTGTGCTCTCAAGGCTTTCCTATGGTCCTCGCTCACCTTCAGTAGAGCACGGGCGATGCCAAGGGAGATCGCTTGAGCCTGACCAGAGAGGCCACCCCCTTGTGCCTTGACGAAAACATCGTAACTTCTCTCATATCCAAGTGTCAACAGTGGAGTTTTAACATACTGAAGCCACAAAGGGTTTCCTTGAAGATATTCCTGCATGTTAGCACACCAGTGGTAGTTTTTAGCTAAGATAATTCAAAAAACAATCCTTGGTAGAGAGCATCAGACAATTAGTTAGTCAAGACACACTCAATGACTGACAATAGCCCAGTGCAGAAGTTCAGATCAAGAGAAAATGTAATCAAGCATGGCTATCAGGGTAATTGTTACACAGGGAAATTCTGGACTTAGAATTTCATGCACTGTTCTAAAATTCAGGCTAGGTGCCTGCCTAGGCGGTGTCTAGGTGTTAGGTGATGGCTGGGTGCCCTGATTTCGTCCTAGTCAATAAGAAAAATAAGTAAACCATTAGGTGGCCTAACCGGCACCAAGGCAGCCCGAATGGTTCGATGGTTCGAGACCCAAATTATTTTCCCTGCTCTATCCTAACATTGTTGTATCGTTAACTTGTCTATTTTTACTAATATTTTAAATTACGATTATTAACGTTCAAGAATTAACGTTTGAATGTATATGAACTATCTGAACAACTAAAAAACACCAACCTCTTTTGTTTTAAGTTTTTTTATCAATTGTTTTACTTTTTTATTGTTCAATACAAGAGCATAACATTTAAGAATTATATCAGATGTTTTTAATAACATAAAGTATAAACTCATAATAATAGAAATCATTTTATAGAGAGAGACCTAGGGGCCTTGTAGGCTTGTACGGGCTAGGCGCTAGGCAGCATACCACTGGCCGAGTGGCTGACTACCACAAAATGCCTTTTAAAACATTGGTTACATGTCCTTTAGCATAGGTTTAAGATGATGCATCATCACACATCCTGAAATTCATTTACTCGGTTTCATGTCCAACAATCAGACTATATATTCAAGCCTCTTCATGCAAGGTTGCTTTGCATTCAATTCAATAAAGATATACATATACAAGTAATAAGCTCTATGGACCTTACCTACTATCAAACTATGACAGGTGGTTTTACTAAGTCTCTTTTTCATTCAGAAAGATATCTATAATTGGAATTTATCTCAGAATCAATAATCAAAGGTGGATTCTTGAAAATTACAAGGAAAGATATATAAGAATAATCCGCTACCTGGCTTCGTAGTAGTGATAATTCGATATTCATCCCATATATGTGTAATTCTATAGTGCGAACTTGAGGGGGATACTTCTCATATAATCCTGTCAATTTTCATGAATTGTTTTTGCACCGTTCAAATAGAAGACATAGACGGTCGATCTTAGAGGGAAGCAGCAATGACAAAAACTACAATCCGGTCAATCATCCGACCACCTTCTCAAACAGAAGAGATTCCACTGAATTATAAAAGGTTTAGATTATTCTTATGAATTTTTCCAAATTATAGATATCAAGATTGGCCAATGGCTGAGAAATTAGAACCATCCCATCATTTCTAAGAGAGTAAATCTTTAAAGCAAATATGAGATGAGCTAGGTAAAAAACCAAAAGCAACGAAAACGTAAGAATTAGAGCATAGAGTTCAAGTCTCAGATTTCTCAATACATGGGGTGACACGAGAGAGTTAACTAGTTAAGTACAAATAATTGTACTAAAGCACATATACTCTTTTAAGTGCAACCATAATATTACCCCAGTACCGCAAAGGCTCCACATATGGTGGGGTAGGGGGTCATATGTAAGTAGCCTTACCCTTACTAAAGCATATAGGATCTTTTAGGATGACCCATGACGAAAATCGCGTCGAAAATTGAACTTCATAACAAAGAAGTGCATAACAAAGAAGTGCAAACAGTTTAGTCATTTTGACTTATTACATCATATTCCCAATCTCAACGTTTTCAGTGTGAGAGAATAGTAATAATAAGTACTCCGTAGTAAGTACTTATTAGCCTAATGTTTTCAGTATCAGAGAAAGCAAAGTTGTGCAAAGCAACTACTTCCTTAATTCAATAGAGCTTTACAGATTACAGATTCATTGTAAACTTGAAATGCAATTGCCTAAATTGTCAAATCCACACGATAACAAGCCATTGGTTCAAAATCAGCCATTCATCAATGAAATGTACACATCATCGCAAAACAAATTCTACATGTCTCAGGGTGAGTTAGACGTACCTTGGCGTCGCGATAGTTTATGATGAATTTGCCGGGACCTTCCTTGAGGACGACACGAGCAGAGGCGGACTTTCGTCGGCCGGTTCCGAATATATGCTGAGCAGCGAAACCTCCAGGAAGTCTCGACTTGACATAGTTCTGCAGGTCATCGTCTTCCAGCTCCTCCGTCGACGGAGCTTCCACAGCGGAGGCTGGTACAAGAAGTTTAGGGTTTTTGGGCGTAAGAGACAGAGAGAGGCGATTGGTGTTGCTAAACGGAAGTGCACGAGGCTTCTGCGAAAGTTGAGATGAGAAGGTGAGAGATGCGAAAGATGATATGAGGGATGTCATCGGAATCGCCATGTTCAATCACTAGAGGAGTTGACGTTTAAGGGCCGGAGAATGAGCACTTGGCAGTGGATATAAGACCAGAATACTTCTAAGAAATACGGATTATGTATTTTTTTGTAAAAGGAGGGGTGCGTATACTTATGTACAGTGAGCAAGTTAATGTGTAAAAGGAGTGGATATAAGACCAGTGTCATTTTTGTAATTAATGTGCAAATCGTGTTTTTTGCTAAATGAGCATTAGTCTAATGTTAATGAGCAATGGTCCAATTTTAATGCGTATTAAGAGTCTAATAATGAACACCGTGTTATTACAAGAAAGCTGATTTCACAAACTAAAAAAAGGTGACATTTCGCAATTTCAGTAAAAATCGCAGTTTTTGTTAGATGAACATTAGTAATTTCAGTAGTTTACTTTTAATGAGCGTCAGACGCATTCTACTGAGTATTAAGAGTCGAATAATGAGTATTGTGATATCAACTTCATATATTGTAATTCACTTTATTTTTCTTATTATTTCTTTTATAAAGACTCGTTAAATTATATGTGAATCTAATGTAATATGATACTTTTGAAATATGTATTGTTATGATATTTTAAACATGCAATTGGATATCATTGAGCATACGTAATTTACAAAATGAGTATTTTATGAAACTCATAAGTATTTTTAGTTGAGTATCAAGACATTTTCATTGAGCACCAAACCTTCTCCATTGAATATTAGAAACATGCAATTGGGTATCATTGTATGTGCTCTCTATCTATAATAACCTTTTACGTGAATCTAATGTAATAAGGTACTTTTCAAATGTGCATTGATATAATATTTTAAATTGAGCATAATACCAGTACAAAATGAGCATACATTACTTACCAAATGAGCAGTGATATTAAAAGCATAAGTTTTGTTAGTTGAACATCAAGACATTTGCATAGAACATCAAACTTGCTCGATTGAGTATCAAAAGCATGCAATTGAATATCATGACCTTTCTTCCCATTATACTTCGTATAATTTAACTCTTATGCGGATCTAATATGATACTTTTGAAATATGCATTCATACAACATTTTAAAATGAGAATAAAACCAATACTAGATAAGCATACAGTACTTATAAAATGAATTGCATCCAAAATTTCAAAAACTCATTTGAATTATTTAATGTGTTCAAATATTCAATTGTATGCTCATTTTTTCATCGTTATACTCTTTCAAATATAACACAAACTGTTTTCTATAATATATTTATCTAGTAAATTCGTTATTATCAATTGTGAATGCACATTTATTTTAAATTATACTAGTATAACACAAACCACATGTTAGTAATTAACATACAATATTTAATAAACTAAGAAATATTCATCTTAAAACTAAAAGTATAGAAAACAAACATTAATACCTAAAATATTTTATAATGCACAAATTAAAAAACTTAAGTTAGAAGGTGATTGGAAAAAAAAGAGACAAACTCAAACATTAAATAATATTTTATATAATACATTATCATAGTTGAATAAAATAAAGTAAAAGATTGTTAAAGAAAAAATAAAGAAAAGAAAAGCAACAAGTAAAATAAAGAAAAAGAAAGAAGAGAAGCAACGTAACAACATAAAGCAACGAAAAACAAAAGAAAGAAGAAGAGAAAAGAAGAAAAAAAGTAAGCAACGAGAAAGCGCATGAGGAGGGCTGACGGCGGAAAAGAAAGAAAGCAACAAAAATAAGCTTACTAATCATCTGAGAGTTGGACTAAATTACAAAAAAAAAACGGGTAGTACCATGTCCTAGGTATAGCCATGAAAACAAAGTGAGATTCAAGACATATTTTTGCTAAAATGTGTTTTTTTAAAGCATGTTTAAATATGTATTTAATCCTACAAATATTTACATTTTATTTTATATCACCACAAAACATATTTATATAAGTAAAATGCATTTTTTTAATCCATCTCTAACTCGGAAACCACTTCATCTTAAAAAATACTACGAAGTTAATATTGATTGCATAAATGTACTAAAATTATCTTTTTATAATTTTCTGAAGACAAATATGGGAGTTAAAGCAAGGTAAATCTAATTATTCACGTTTTTAATGAGTTTTATCGACCTAAAAACAAAAATGTGTATTTCATGAATGACAACAAAGAATAAGAGAAAATTAATTAGTCAAAATTGTTTCATCATCAAGAGGAGGTTGCTAAAATTGGTGATGGACTAAAAAGAAAAATAATACTTCCTCCGTATTTTAATGTTCACTACAATAGATTTTGACACATTATTTAAGGTAAAATAGTAGGAGTAACGAATAAAAAAAAGTAAGAGTAATGAATAGTGTAGGAAAAATAAGAGAGGTGGTGGAAAAGAATGAAAGAAAAGATAAAAAGTAGAGAAAAGGGGATAATTGAGATTTTTAAAAGAAAAATTTGCTCAAAAAAGAAATTGTAACAAATTTTTGAATACATCCAAAAAGAAAAGTGTAGCAACCATTAAAATATGGAGAGAGTACGTAGTATAAATTATAGGGATAAAAAACAAAACAAAAAAATGCTAGAATGTGAAATAAAATGCACCACATTTGGAGTGATTAAAAGCACATTAAAACAAAAAAAAACTATATTACAGTGAATTTAATGGGAATTCTACGATTTACCATGTGATCTTAGGATATGTACATGTCATATGGACTGTAGTATACTTGCAGCTGCAAATTAAATGCAACACTTTCCATTAATAAGTGCAACACTTTCTATTTTCGGCAGTTTCAAATTAAATGCAACCTTTCTATTTTTGGAAAGAATTATTAAGCCAATTGACTTGTATACCCTTCACTATGTACAACCGTTCCTTTTCTACTTTTTGACTTTTTCTTTAATTATTTCTCCATCCTTCTAGCTCGTTCGTTTGTGTAACTTGTGCGTTTCTCTTCACCAAGACACCAATTCTCCATTTCTTTCCCATCATTTTCCTCATTTGTTTTTATTTTCTCTGATTTGTATTTTAATTATGGTCGGAACAGAAGACATGGACTGATTTTGCTCCGGTCACTCACCCACAAGCAGAGACATGGCAGTAATTGTGGCCTCTAGGCGGCGGCGGACTGTTGCGGCTCTGGATCATTGCGGTAATTGTCTCCGTGGGATGACGATTGGCGAAAGCGGGAGAAGAGGTGCTGAGCTGGCTTCAAGCCACGGGAGGAGGACTGTTGGCGGAGGTGGACTGTTGCGGCCTCCAGATAAAGGTCGCTCACCGGAGTTTAGGCAAAGGGCCGGTCTTCGTCTTCCAAAACTGAGCAGTACATCGGGGCTCGCTGTTTTATTTCTTGGTTGTAATAATTTTATCCACTACTCCTTTTAGGTACTGTAGCACTTTATTTGTGTGGCTGCTACTTTCTTACGTAGAATGGTAGAAGGGTAAAATAGTGAAGTCCAACCCCTTCACCCGGTTTCTTAATCTTTGTGCCGAAGTGCATGTTGCACTTATATCCGAACAAAGGAAATATATTCTAAAATCGTCCCAATGTGCGTAAGATGTACCAATACCATTAATAGATGTAGGTTTTTCTTCTCCTCCTTCATATCGTTCATGTCATATTAAAATTTTTATTATAATTTTATTTTTCTTTATCTTAAAATTAAATTACAACGTAACACAATCTATTTTTTATTCTTTATCAGTTCCTAACAAAAATGGATTTATCCACATAAAATAAGTATATTGCATTTTTTTTTATTCATGCACTAATTTTTCTGTAATATTTTTATATTCATAAACTTTCTTACAATATTGTTTCATACTCATACATTTTTTCTATAAACATTTTTTATCTCTTTTATATGTTTTAGTGGGTTTTAATGGGGGTGGGAAGTTTTTCCCGAATCCCGCCACCCGATCCTGATAATCCCGATCGCGACTAGTCGAGAATTTTTCCCGATCCCGACTAAGTCAGGACGGGACCAGATTTTTTTTTTTTGGAAAAAGTCGGGATCGGGAAAATCCCGAGACTGTATATATACATACATATAATTATATATGAATATATATATATATATATATATATATATATATATATATAAGAATATACATTTACATATTTGCATCTATAAATGAATATAAAAATATGAATTTGTATCTAAATATTTGCATATCTTTTTTACTTACTTATTCCTTACATAGATTAATCTTTAATGTTACAATAACAAACTTCTAAAACTATTCGGCATTTGTCCCAAAGTGAATATTCTGGATCTTAACTAAATAGAGATTATTTTGCTCCCGACAATCTAAGATTTCTTTCTTTAGTAAATAATCATAATATGTATTTATACATTGTATTCATTGGTCATAAAGTTTCTCAATGAGTCTACTTAGTTTTGAATTTTAAATAATGTACGTTACACAACCTTCCTTTGAAGTAAGTTTCACTCAGCCTTGATAGCTTATTCAAAAATCATACTATTGATTAATTGAAGTTATAAATAAAAACTATTCTAAAAGTACGTACTACTTTGAATTCAAGATGATAATTATGACTATAAATTTTATAAGTAGATGATGATAAATTTGGTATACTAATGACCAAAGAATAATGTTAAAACCATTAAATATGAAAGTTAGTGTTTAACTAAAGAAATTACATAATTTCATGTTTGATACTTAATCGGGATTTTAATGTCGGGATCCCGACTTAATCGGGACGGGATACGGGAACCTCTTGTATTTTGAGTCGGGATCGGGATTTTGGCAATCGTGATCATCCTAATCCCACCTAGCTAGGCATGGACCGGTACCGGGTTGGGCCGGGCTCCGGGCTCCGGGCCGGTCCAAAGTGGGCTTTTTGTTTGTGGGTTAAGGCTCAGAACCGGGTCGGGCCGATTTTTTTTATAGCTTTTCTAATTAATTCCAACCCCCACCCCCAAACCCAACAAAAAAACCCAGCCCAACCCTCTCCTATCACCAAAACAATTCGGAAACAAAAACAAATTGGGCCTGGGTCGGTACCAAAGAAGGTGCAGCCCAGAACCGCCCCCAAAAATCCAACAGGTCGGTCCCGCATAGTGGCGGTCCGATCCGGTTCCCGGGCCGGTCAGACCGGA